AAATTTTAAATTTGCAGCTAGATCAACGACCTGGTACCCCCTGTTCATCAATTATTGATCCACCCATTACTGATGAACCCACCCCGGTCCAAAGTGCCACCGTTAAAGTGCAGGTGTACTACTCGCCATTAAGTCAAAAGTCAGTCGACTTTATTAAGTTAAACGCAAAGGATAGCGACAAGGGCATTTATGACATATTGGTGCCTGGTCTAAATGGAAAGCCTAAATATAACATTGAGTTTGATTATATACCGTGGGGTAGAGCGATTAGAGTTCCCGATGCTCAGGGTAAAAATGTCTATACATGTCCGGAAGGTGACACTGATTGTCTGGGAACTAGATTGCATGTAAGTTTGAGAGAGAGAGAGAATGACCAAGTAACTTTAGTCAAATTAAATAATATTTTAAAATTTTAATTGATAAAAGTTACTAGATTTGAAAGCAAATAATTGCATTATTAGCAAATAAGCAATATTATAGCTAGGACTAATTTCAATTATAAATGATCTAACTGCAAATTTAAAATTTAAAAATAAATAAATATCTTAAAAGTCTAATTGTTTAATTTTTAAAATACGGTATGTGCAATATATAAACTTACAGGATATGCCTTGCACACTTCCGTTTTCAATTGAGTATTTGCGTTGTTGTTTACGCGGCCATTGATTATTACGAGTGGGTCGCTTGCTAAATTAAAATAATTAACTTTTAAAATGTCATATTGTGATACATTAAAATATAAAAAAAATTATTGCAAAATAACTTAAATATACAGTAAGTTTATATCTAAGCTTTAAAAATTCTTTAATAAAATTATTTAACTACTATATATTAAATGTTTAATATTTTATAAATTTATATCCTCATTCATTTTATTGCATTTAATAACATTTTAGATAAATCACTAAATTAGACATTTTTGCTATTACTCACCCTAATATAATAATAATAAACAAAACTTAGTGATAAAATATATATATAATTCACATTCCGTAATAGACTTCATTAAAAAACGAAAATGATAAAAATATATATTACCGGAAGTAAACTCCGGGTACAGGGTGTCGGTGGCGGCTATAACCTCCTCCAAGTATGGGTCACTCTGTACATTTGCATTGGCACACAGGTCTAGGCCAACCCCATCATCCGGGATATCATTGTACTGATTGCCACACTCAATAACCTTACCAAGGGGGTTCGTTTTCCAATCAGCTTGGTTCGCCGTACAATATATCATAAAGAACTCGTGGTGATTTTGGTACAGGGACACGTGGTTACGTGCTATGCAGGCCTGTTTGATTTAGAATTTTGTTCAAAATATTTAATGTTTCTGATAAATAGTTTGATGATTTTAATTTTTTAAAAGTCTGTCAAAATTATTTAGAAATAAACTTTCAATATATTGTTTATTAACTAATTCGTAGGCGTATCCAACAATTAATTATAGCTTTTTAAAATTTATATTTATTTTATAAATAATAAATTACTCTCTCTCTCTC